TTCGATGTGGTTATCTGTGTATTTACCAGATAGGTAATATATATATCAAAACTAAAATACATTTGCATTAATTTCCACTAGAATATTTTAGGTAGTACAGCTGTTTGTATTTCTCTAATTTTATTATTACCAATAAAAAATATATACAGGAGCATTCATTAATTTAGAGACCCTTTGCGACCGTACAAAGAAAAACAACAGCAGACATTAGGCCTTGCCCTAACAGATATAATCTGGAAAGCTGGTGAAGGGAACTCGCATTGTACAGTATGTTTACCTGGAGAACAAGCATATCTGGAGAGAGATCTCACCTACACTCCAGATGGGCTGACAGAAAAGGTAAAATTCTGGTCAAAATGGTAAATCAATGGATTAACAGAACCTCTAATGCAGTTGGTTGATATAGAAATGTTTTGTGATTGTTGAGCAATAAAACCTTAACAAATTTAGTAATAATAGATTTCGTCAATGTAGAAAACTACGTGAAACTAAACAATAGAGCTTATAAGAAATTTAATCAATATAAAATACCAACAGAAGTTTTAAAAGAACTGGCCAATATAGAAACTCACGTGACTATTGACCAAAATTTGTCTAGATATCTAATAATAAATGTAAAGGATTATATTGATCTTGACCAATAAAAATTCAATTAAAAAAATCACGCGTCTCTTGAATAACAGAAGTTTTAATAGAAGTGGTTAATATGGAAAAATCACGTAATTCGTTGATCACAAAGGTTCTAATAGTCCAGAAAATACCTCAACTCTTCACCATATTAAGTTTTAATGGACCTTTTATTGTTAACATTACAACAACAAAAAAATATAATATTTCGTTTGGCCAAAGTCCAAAACTATTAATAGTCGATAATATTTTTACAGAAATAAAATATTAATTCTTTCAACTTAGGTTTTGAGAGTTTGCTATCGATGTTTCGGAATCCTTTCTCAGTCTTGAAGAAAGATCTGAAACATTCATTTTTTATTTATTTTATTTATAAAACATGATGGATAAATATATTTATACGTTAAATGCTTTTCAGATATACCTATATTTTTATAAGTTTTATTTTACTCACAATATTAAAAATAGTGTTTGGAAATGTGAGTAAGATGAGTATAAAATACAAATATTAGTGACTGCTCCGCCCCTGTACCTCCAGTGGCACAGCGGTATGCCTTCGGACTTACAACGCTAGAAACAGGGTTTCGATACTCGTGGTGAGCAGAGCACAGATAGCCCTTTGTGTAACTTTGTGCTTAACTTCAAACAAACAAACCGCCCCTGTAATGTATGAAACTGAACTGCCCCAGAGTACAGTCATATGTTGATAATTAAAATTGTTATTGGCTGCCAGCCAACAAATAAGACAGTACCACATCATTATAATACCTATAACAATAGAAAGAAATAGTGTGAGGAATGTACTCGTGGGTCCCAGAACCTAACATAACAAACGTGTAGAAAAAAGAAATAGTGTGAGGAATGTACTCGTGGGTTCCAAGAACCTAACATAACAAACGTGTAGAAAAA